TTGAATCAAATTAGCACACAAGAAACTAAGTCTAAATCAGAGTGTACAATACAATAACCACACAAGAGACTAATAAGTCTAAATCAGATTTGTACTCTTCGTGATCTAAAGACATAGAAAACCCAGGAGAAAAAATGAATTACAGAGAAGAATAAACTCAAAACTGGGAACAAAAGAGAGAAACCCTAACCAGGGTCACATTGTTGGTAAAACTCTTGAACATCTGCAAGAAAAGAGAAAACCCCAAATCAATCAGAAATTGAACATAGATCGGAGAAGAAAACATCAATAGAAGCTAGAATTCTTCCGAAAGATCTGAGAACTAGTGAAATTTACCGGTGGTGAGAGCTTTGACAATGGCAGCACGACGACCTTTGAAATCCTTAAAAACTTCTTCAACAGTTCGAGGATTGTAAAGAGCAGCTCCACCTTCCATGATCTCGCTCGATCTCAGAAACTCAGAGAGAATCTCTCAGAGAAATAGAATAATGGAAGAAGACGAAGAAAAAGCTGCGGCGTGGACCGTGACGAGACCCGATCTTGTTTTTCTTCTATTCACTCAAGTCTTTGGATTTTGGTCAAAAGAATTATTGATATGGGTTCGGGTCGGGTCATATATATAATCCAATATGTACCAAAAAGCCCAAAAGCCGAAACGTTGGTCTGAGGAATCAAACGTTGAATCTTGTCCAAATACGTCGAATAACGAGCCCATTCATTTATTATATTGACTACTTCTTAGCTAATAATAAAGAAGGAATTTGGTAATCTGTTGAAGATGATTTTGTGAGCTGAGATTGAGAATCCCATAAGGCTGACTCCTCCATAGCTTTATTAATTAGGACACTGAGATCACCTTGAACATTCTCATACACAAGCTAATTCCTATGTTTCCACATTCCCCAAATATTTCATGGTATAGCCAATTGTATATTCCTTGGTGTACTAATAGACTTGATAAGCTGAAACTTGGAGTTAAAAAAATTATATAATATATTTTAATATGTTCTAATAGTATTTAGTAGATTGAATTTATAAAAATTGACTTTCCTTTTATATAAAAGTGTTTAATAGATTTTAGAATTTTAATCAAGTATATATTTGGTGTTGACAAAAAAAAAATCAAGTATATATTTGGAGATAAAATTATATACTCCTCATTTTTGTATTTATTTGATAGATTAGAAATTAGTATAAATATAATTAGTAGATTGACGTTGAACCGTAGCAATGGCGATGAAGACATATAAGTAGCAATGGCCATCAAGACCTATAAAGTACAGTAATTATATGAAAAAAATCTTTAACCACCGCAACGAGAGTACTTATGAAACTCATCTACTTTCATTACATTCTTCATACTTGATCTGTTTATTGGACCTTATACCAATAAAGACCTTTGAAATTGTTGGCCTCAAGGTCAGATGGATACCAGTTCTCTGCATGCTGTGATAGAAATGACCATAGAATACCCCAAGAAATGATAGCAACGGAAAGACCCGAACAATATTTCTCCAAATGGGGACATATCATACCACATCCAATAAAAGTAGGACTGATATCAAAGTAAAACCTGCGTAATAGAAAATTACCAATTAGATCCACAAGCGAAGCCATTCTCATTTGCAATAGATTATTGTTAAGCTGTACTTAATTGGTTAATAGATAAACTATGAACTTATTACATGTTCATGAATAAAACCAAAAGTGGGAAAGTGATCAAACCCACATGTAGGCATGTCAATCGGGCTAACCCGGCTCGGCCCGGCCCGAAGCCCGCAAAAACCGCATATATTTGAGCATGGTCCGGTATGGTCCGTAAAAATTCCGAGCCTAGATTTTGAAGCCCGGCCCAGCCCTAACAGGGATATAGGGCTTTTACAGGTTTTTTTGGGCTTTTCTTTCGAGAAAAATAAAGCCTTTCTAATTTGTAATATCTCTTAAAAAAAAAATCTACGTATAAAACGAGTCAAACGAAATTTAAATAACCACTAAAGCGGGTTAAATTTAAAAAAGTTTAAAATCAAATGAATAAGCCAAAAAAATTGTTTAAAACCACACATAATAAAATATAAAATCAGAACACTTATAGTAAGGCACAATTAGGAAACTAGGTTTAGGGTTTTTAACTCTATTAAAAAAAATCTTTAAACAAATTTCTTAATTAAACAATAATATTAACAAAAAAAAAAGTTAAAATCTCTTTTAAGGGCTTTTCGGGCCGGTCCGAGCCCGACCGGGCTAAGTCCTAAAAACTCTTTAGCCCAACGGACTTAGCCTGAAAGGCCCGATTTTTTTCTGGACATATATTTTAAGTCCGAGCCTGCTATTTTTCAGGGCTGGACCTGGCCACCCTGCGGACTTTGGCCCTAATTGACATGCCTACCCACATGCAACTCCAATACTACTGGAGAACGTCATTTGAAGCAACTCCAAACTAAGCTACAAAAATCTACTTCGTTCTCAAAAATTGAGAATTTCCAGTAGATTACACGGACCAATTAGATAATTTTTTTGGGAAATGGTCTTTATGATTTATTTTTCGGTGATTTCTCTCCGAGAAGAACACCACTGGCCAAGTAATTTTTTTTTTTGTCAACAACTTATAAATAAAATTCAAAAGAGGAATTTGTTTACATATGTGATATAATGCGGTTCGGTAAGAACTTTTCGATTGGCCATGTAAATTGTAGTTAACGAATTGTAGTTATCAACGTTATGAAGGATCAAGACGTTTAATTGGTTAAATTATTATCTTATTATATAAAGTATGGTTTTCAAAGTTAATAACTCATAGGATCGTGACACGTGTCAAATTTATCAATCTCAGATTTTGATACGTGTTAAACAAAAGTTTCCTTTTATTTATTTTAAAAAAATATAAGGAAACTATACGCACATGTCAAATTTATCAACGTGTAAAACTAAAAAAATATTTGTTTAGAAAAAAAATATAAGGAAATTATACTTATATATCTTATATAAAACAATTCTAAAAATCTAAAGAAGATAAATATAAGGAAACTAGATGTATCTTATAAAATAAAAATAGAAATTTAAGAAATACATTATAAAGCAGCTATACATACATATCTTATAAAAAAAATATTTAAAAAGTAAAGAATATAATTATAAGGAAACTATATGTATATTATTAAATAAAAAATAAAAATTATAAAATTATTTACTAAAGTAGAACCTCTATAAATTAATACTCGATAAATTAATAAAATAGTCAAGATTTTCAGTAAGTTTTTAATTTTTGAATATGCATCATTTTCATTATGATAGTCTTATAGTTGTTATCGACAATTGAGATCATTAATCATAAATTTGAATTTACGTATATCGTTTGTATAAATAAATTCATCTATAGTCATTGTAATTTTATGGTCTAATTTATTTTTGAAATTTTTGTTTCAAACTATTAAAATTTCAATTCCAAACTACAAAATTTATAAATTTATTTCTTTCAAAAATTTTAAGAAATGAAACATATCTCTTTATAAATTAATATCACTATAAATTAATAAAATATCATGGTCCCAACAATATTAGTTTATAGAGGTTTCACTGTAATTCTATTATAAAGCTACTAATTCTAAAATAAAAAGATTACTTTTTCCTTAAAATTAAAAAAGATTTATGAAATTGTATAATATGATAATTAAAGAAAATTTATAATCAATTATTAATCATAGAAGAAAAAGATTCTAAATACTCACCTCTATATTAATCAAATAGATAGATAGACAAATTAAAAATATATGGCGAGAGAGGCAATTGAAGAATTATGAACGTTGATGGACATAAAATAGAGTTGTTGTCGAAGAAACTCGACCCGATGTCAGAGGAGATAAAAAAGGTGGAGAAATAAGAGCAATTGGGGAAAGGGAGGAAGATGCGGTAACGGTGGTGCTGGTGTTGATGACGGTGGTTCAAGCTTGGTAAGGGTGGCGGTAAATATTGATGAAGGTGGTGGGTCATAATTAGCGAGATTTAGTATTGATGGTGATGATGATTGTGATAGTTGTGAGATTCAGTTGTGGTGGTGGTCGATCTGGTGAGTTGGAGTAGTGAGACTCGGTGGTGATGCTCGACGAAGGAGAGAAATAGCGATATGGAAAAAGAAAAAAATATGGTGGTGAAGAAATCAAACGAGAGGGAAAGAAAGAAAAAGAAAGAGGAGATCGAGTAAAAATCAAAGAAATCTAACGAGAGAAAAATAGAGATTTGAGACTTCTCGCCAGCAAGAGGAAAGAAAAAAGAGACAACGAAGAACCCATGAGTAATATGGGCCAAAAATTGACAAAAGCCATATAGCAAATAGACATTGTTTAGTTAATATTATTTTCTTAAATTTTTTTTAGTCTTAGATTATTTAGTGCATATTCCCTAATTCCTTATGAATTTATCTTTTTGTTTTGAAGATTTTTCATATTATCAAGTAAAGTTACATGATGTGGATATAGACTGTCTCATTTTGTCACAATTTTGTTTCTATCTTACCCACATTGAAATTAGAAAGTGTTCTACACTATTCCGATGGATGTAGATAAATTATTAAAATTCAATAATACACGTATGAACATTTATTAAATATCATACTGTAACATAACATATAATATCATACTGTAACATTTATTAAATATTATACTGTAAATATCATATTTTATTTTGCACATTATGCATAATTAATCTATAATTAAAATACTATATTTTCTAAAATTAAAAACATATTTTTATATAATTTTAGTTAAGCTTTCAAAAATAAAAATTAAAAAAGATAATTTCGACTGGTAATCCGTACAACGCACGGATCCTAGTAAAATAATAGAATGACATCTGTCCTTTAAATAAACCAAACCAATTTTAACGGTTTTAGTTTTGATGGACTCGGTATACTGTGAACCAAAAGAATCAGTTTAGAAATTGGTTTGGTAAATGGTTTAATTGAAGAAATACTCTTCAATGGTCAAATCAAAACACAATCGAAATTCACAAAATCGCGTAAGCCTTGGACACCAAGAGTCTATTTAAATTCACAAAATTATCAGTTTGACATCGAAATTTGACCGTTGGGCTCTGAGAGGCTCTACAAAATTCTAACATCTCCATCTCCGACGAAGAAATTGAGAAGCCGTCGAAAAGTTAGATCGTGGAGCCACCGTTGTCGCCGATCTCAGCGAAGGGGAAAGAAACGAAGTCGTTGGAGAAAGATCTAGTGGAGTAGGAGGCGTTGTTGGAGAAAACAGACGATTTTCTGAAGGAGAAAGGATGATATCCTGAGGAAGAAGAAGATGAAGAATGAGAAAGTCTCGACCGTGTTTGCCGGAGATGCTAGATTGGTGGAGGAGCCGAATTACAAAGAATTCCACGGTAACAATACTCGTGATTCTTCTCTACATAGTCGGAGGTTATTGAGATTTAATTAATTTTTTAGAGAGAATTTTGGAATTTGTATAACTGAGAATTGAGTTTTAGGTCAATTCGCGGAGAGTGAAATTGCCGATTTTCAAAGAGAATAACATCAATCGAAGATGCAATTGATTCAAACATCGAGGATTTGAAGTAAAACCCTGAAAGTGGAAGCTTTTGTTTCTCTGATTCTGGAAAGTTTCCAGTATCCATCCTCTTGATTAAATTCGTATCCGTGCTTGTTAATGGACGCTAATTATATATCTTTTTTTGTTTCTTATTAGGGGCTTCTAAGAAGATTCTTGGATATAGTTATGGTGATGCTTCTTAAATCCGAAAGAGAAGCAGACGGTCTCTTTGGAAAGTTGTGCGGTAGTGTCTCCCTAATCAGGTTTCTTTTCTGGATTGTTGTCTTAGTAGGAACAAGCTGGCCACAATTCTTGAAGAGGAAGAAGCGAGATGGAGAATGAACACCAGTGAGACAATATTTTCATTGGTCAATGGAGAAACATTATAACGGAGAACAGCCGTTGCAGCATAATCTTGAACCTCTTTAGTTTGTATGATTTTGATGATGACATGTAAATTCTAGCTTTACATGATGCATGATAAGCTGAAAGGATACTCAAGCCAATCATAAGGATGTTATATGTAGAGTAGAGACACTATCAACATAATCAGTAGATTTAAATGTCTGTTATATTCACTTTTTAGTTTTACATAAATTGTGGATACTCTTTCACTGCCAACTATTAATACGTCTTTGTCCAGGTTATGATGGAACATCAATACCCAAGCTGAGGGTTCGCAGTACATGAAAATTCATGGCGTCTGAAACTCATGACCCTTTTCTCATTCGCCAGGTAAGTCTAGCTTTTCTGTAGAGTTTTTCTCCCTTTGGTTATTCAATACTTGGTTGAATAGCTTATTACTACTGAATATTTATTTGGTTGCAACATGAGCTGAAATTCATTTGACAACAAGGAGTATTTTGTCATGAGTCAGTTGGTTCACGCATTCAAATAAGTTCCTTGAATCCTATTTACTGAATTAGTTTGTGTTCCTTTCACCTTTATCACGTCTCTGCAATTGTTCATTATTGTTTCTTTTTAACAGGTTTTCTTTATACCTGATCGCTCAATACTTCTTTATGCTGTGTCTTGGAGTTGCCCGAATTAATATCCTTTTGTAATGTTTCCTTTTCTGAGTATACCTGATTGATCAATACTTCTTAATTGGCTTTTATTTTCTCATTTTCTCACAACCATTTTTAGTCTGGTGTGTAAGTGGTTTGGCTACTTCTTTCTTAAGGATTATGTCATTGATTTTGTTAGCAGGCTCCGTATTTTTTCTACCAACTTTAGGAGGATCCAGAAACAACAGTACTCTCGTTGATGCAGCACAATGAAAAATTCGTTGAAGGGAAGACCAAGGTACCGCAATTACTTGAGTTGCTTTTGGTATCTATCAGTGCCAGTGATTTACTTTAATTATGGGAGAAGAATCGAAGAAAATTTCCTCAAATCACTTTTTCAGGTTCTGAACCAGAATCTATGACATTCACTAACTTAAAACAACAATTTTTCATCAACACTTTTTCAGCATCTTCTAAGGATCTTACTTACCATATGAAAACAGTAAGTCTTTGAGCATAATAATCTCCTCTTCTTTGGTTATAGGTTGTGAAAATCGATGGGCGTGTGGTTTCTGACGGAAAAGTTGGCCGGGTAACAAGAACACTGCAAAACGCTTACAAGAAAGACAGAGGATTCTGGTGTGCCATTCTAGTTTCTCCAATGTGTAAGCTAATAACCAATTTTTTGATTACAGTCTTAGGAGATTATACCGAAATTCAAATATATTGTTATGTATGAATATGCAGATATTTGAGAAGGTGCAGCCCCATCCCGTGGTGATTAATCTGTTAACTAGAGTCGAAGAAATCAGACCGAAATGGAAAATAGTTCCTACAAAAGACGTGATTGACGCTGCTTTCAAGGACCTCGTCTAGCGAGAAGAGGTCTGTATAGTGTATATGGAGTATAACAACCTCTCACCATCTAAAATTGTTATAGAAATATTTTGGTGTATTTAAATGCAGGTAAGGGACAACAAGCTGATATATCAAGACAAGCCTAGGCTTAAAACAGCACTTGAGATATTTAGGACAAGCAAGAACCTCGAAGATAGTCTCCACGAGTTTCATTACTTATATATTATTTTTGATCCCATGATATGAGTTTCCTGACAAAATTACTTGACTAAGACAACATGTGATCGGATTGTGTAGATAACAATACCTTTCTTTGTATTACACGGAGAAGCAGATATAGTGACGGATCCAGAGATAAGCAAAGCCCAGTACGAGAAAGCTAGCACGTTTTGGTTTCTTTCTTTTAATGGTCCTCAGGTTTCGTCTCTTTTTTTTATAACTATATTACGTACTTGATTTAGGTTGTAGAATTGCAGTTTTACATTTTCTTCACTGATGCGTGTGAGACTGTTTTGTGTGTCAAACATCTCAAACTTTGCTATCTAACTTTTCCGTTATTTCCAGCGATAACCTTGTTTGAGTTTTGGTATTATATGGGGCAACTCTTGCACTGTCTTGAGAAACTTTCTTGATTCATGGGTGTTTTCTTTCTACTATTTTATTCCTTTTTGCATTGTTACCTTTATTGACTTGTTGAAATTACTTCTTATGCAGATACAGGGGATATCACGTTTTGGTCTCTCTTTTTTAATGGTCCTCAGGTTTTGCCTCTTTTATTTTTTCTACCAATATTACTTACTTGGTTTAGGTTGTAGAGTTTCTCAAAGTGAGAAACGCTTGTATACTAGGCTTTGGCTCCTAAATTGCAACATGTGGCTTTCTTCTGTTGATCACTCCCAATGAAATGCATTTTTTCTACGAAGAGCAGCTGCATCGAATGGAAGGAACATGTACTCTTTGAAGCTATCCTATGTCAAATATTCGACATGATTAAACCAGAGTCAAGAGTTCTTTCAAATCATAATATCTGTGCCTCTCTGTTTCTCTAGAAAAATTTAACATTGGTTTTGTTTTTTTTTTCAGGTATGGACAACAGGAACTATGGGAGAACTAAGCCCGGTATGTACAGTCTCTTGTATCTTACGGGCCATATCCTTTCAGCATTTTGTTTTTAGTTTCACGTGCTCCTTTTTCATCTTGAACCCTAAAATCATAGATGTCCAATTGATTGTTAGATCTGTGTTGAAATTTTGATAATTCCCTGTCACGATTGAAAATTATAACTGAGCCTAGTCTTGAATATTGGTACACGTATCTCCCCTTCTCTTTTGTCTTTCATGACTTCTCTTCAGTCACTCTAAATGTATAACTGAGCCAAAACTTGTGGCATATGCGGCCTTCTTGATGAAACAATAATGTCTACTTGTTGATTGATTAAAACCACATTTACAGGTTCAAGTGCATATATAGACCTGGCTGGAAATGGGGTGATCACTCTCAATGAACATGTACTCTTTGAAGATATCCTATGTTAAGTATTCGACATGACTAAACTAGAGGCAAGAGTTCTTTCAAATCATAACATGGTCTTTTCAAATCAGAATTTATTTTTTATATTACTGAGAGTATTTTCTGTTTGTTTTAGATCGTAGAGGAGTCAAGAGGGTTTCCCATTCATTTCACTTTTTCTTAAGCAGCACGTGAAGCTCTTTTGTTGGTATTTACATGATTGCATCGTGACATTTAAAAGATAAGTTGCTCATTTTATCTTTACGTAACTTCAATGTTCTCTTAAGAGAGAAGCATTGTGAGGAGAAGGAGTCAAAGATATTGTTCGTTATTTATTTTCCAATATTTGGTTCTTGATAGTTGATTTCATTAGTTACTTTTATTTACTTGTGTATATGATTTCTTACCTATATGATTTGACTCCATTATACTTTTTTTTTACTTCTGAATTGGGATTGATTTCGTCTCCTTTATATTTGTGAGTTACTCCTTGTTGCAAGCACTGTTTGAAACGAATCAACTATTGGATCAAGACTATAGATAAGAACCTAATTATGTAGCTGCAGAGGTTTATTAAGTTGGTTTTTCATTTGTTTCTAAGTCTATGCTTACAACTGTCTTTCTTGATGTCATAGTGCATAGACATGCTCGAAGTTGTTACATTTTGTGGTGCTCGAAATAGAGATTTGATTAGATATAGTTATGAGCTTTTGCACGGGATAAGAAGTGGAAGATTACTGAGATCAAGTCATGATTAGAAGAAGCTGATGACTTGGTATTCACAATCAACTTGCTTAATGTTTATACCTTTCTGTTCTAGTTTTAAAACTCAATATATGCTTCTGTGTTTTGTTTTGTAGATCTGGAAAATGGATCTTGAGGCTAGAAGTTTGCAGCCGAGTGCTAAAGTTGTATGTCTTTCTAAACTAAAAGCGCGTATATTGATGGAATTCAAACGAGCGTAAATTGATCTGAACCAATTAAAAAAGGAATTCAAACGAGTCTCGTCCGTGGCGAATTGATGGAATCCAGAATGGCGGATCTGCGTGCAGTAAGCTCCTAAATCCTAAATAGAAACTTTTGCTTTCTCATTATCTTAGTTGTCTTAATTGACTCGCATCAGTTAAGCTTATGTGTCCTGAGGGACCCTTCTTTATTTGTCATCTTTGCACAAACTTTTAGATGGCAGAGGCGTTGCGATTGACATTATTGTCCTCGTTCCAGGTATCTGCTGATAAAAGAGGTAGATTGGCAATGTCAGTGAAGAGGCTTGACCAATCAAGCAACAGAGTCAGGGAGAGTAGAAGACTAATGCTGGAGACAAGCTGAGGTTGGCATCTCAGTTTCCCAAGATCTGAGTCAGCAACGCCAAACACTTCTTCATGTGCAGACCAAGGTACCGCAATTACTTGAGTTGCTTTTGGTATCTATCAGTGCCAGTGATTTACTTTAATTATGGGAGAAGAGTCGAAGAAAATTTCCTCAAATCACTTTTTCAGGTTCTGAACCAGAATCTATGACATTCACTAACTTAAAACAACAATTTTTCATCAACACTTTTTCAGCATCTTCTAAGGATCTTACTTACCATATGAAAACAGTAAGTCTTTGAGCATAATAATCTCCTCTTCTTTGGTTATAGGTTGTGAAAATCGATGGGCGTGTGGTTTCTGACGGAAAAGTTGGCCGGGTAACAAGAACACTGCAAAACGCTTACAAGAAAGACAGAGGATTCTGGTGTGCCATTCTAGTTTCTCCAATGTGTAAGCTAATAACCAATTTTTTGATTACAGTCTTAGGAGATTATACCGAAATTCAAATATATTGTTATGTATGAATATGCAGATATTTGAGAAGGTGCAGCCCCATCCCGTGGTGATTAATCTGTTAACTAGAGTCGAAGAAATCAGACCGAAATGGAAAATAGTTCCTACAAAAGACGTGATTGACGCTGCTTTCAAGGACCTCGTCTAGCGAGAAGAGGTCTGTATAGTGTATATGGAGTATAACAACCTCTCACCATCTAAAATTGTTATAGAAATATTTTGGTGTATTTAAATGCAGGTAAGGGACAACAAGCTGATATATCAAGACAAGCCTAGGCTTAAAACAGCACTTGAGATATTCAGGACAAGCAAGAACCTCGAAGATAGTCTCCACGAGTTTCATTACTTATATATTATTTTTGATCCCATGATATGAGTTTCCTGACAAAATTACTTGACTAAGACAACATGTGATCGGATTGTGTAGATAACAATACCTTTCTTTGTATTACACGGAGAAGCAGATATAGTGACGGATCCAGAGATAAGCAAAGCCCAGTACGAGAAAGCTAGCACGTTTTGGTCTCTTTCTTTTAATGGTCCTCAGGTTTCGTCTCTTTTTTTTATAACTATATTACGTACTTGATTTAGGTTGTAGAATTGCAGTTTTACATTTTCTTCACTGATGCGTGTGAGACTGTTTTGTGTGTCAAACATCTCAAACTTTGCTATCTAACTTTTCCGTTATTTCCAGCGATAACCTTGTTTGAGTTTTGGTATTATATGGGGCAACTCTTGCACTGTCTTGAGAAACTTTCTTGATTCATGGGTGTTTTCTTTCTACTATTTTATTCCTTTTTGCATTGTTACCTTTATTGACTTGTTGAAATTACTTCTTATGCAGATACAGGGGATATCACGTTTTGGTCTCTCTTTTTTAATGGTCCTCAGGTTTTGCCTCTTTTATTTTTTCTACCAATATTACTTACTTGGTTTAGGTTGTAGAGTTTCTCAAAGTGAGAAACGCTTGTATACTAGGCTTTGGCTCCTAAATTGCAACATGTGGCTTTCTTCTGTTGATCACTCCCAATGAAATGCATTTTTTCTACGAAGAGCAGCTGCATCGAATGGAAGGAACATGTACTCTTTGAAGCTATCCTATGTCAAATATTCGACATGATTAAACCAGAGTCAAGAGTTCTTTCAAATCATAACATGGTCTTTTCATATCCCTGGCTGTTATGTTTTTATTTTTTTCCTTATTCGAAACATAAATTTGTTGAATGACTCTTTCAGAAGGACAACTGCATCTCACTACACGATCTGCATGCATCTAAACTTTCTGGAAATGTTTTAAATATACTCTTCAACCGTAACAAATTCATGGCGCCTGAAACTCATGACCCTTTTCTCATTCGCCAGGTAAGTCTAGCTTTTTTATAGAGTTTTCCTCCCTTTGGATATTCAATACTTGGTTTAATAGCTGTTGGAACTTTTTACTACTGAATATTTATTTGGTTGCTACATGAGCTGAAATTCATTTGACAACATGCAGGAGTACTTTGACTTGAGTCACTTGGTTAACGCATTCAAATAAGCTCCTTAAACCCTTTTTACTGAATTAGTATGTGTTTCTTTCACCTTTATTAAGTCTCTGATGTTCATTGTTATTTCTTTTAACAGGTTTTCTATACGTGATTGATCAATACTTGTTTATGTATACGAGGAATCCGGGAACGTGTATCTTCGTCATGACGTGATTATACCCGAGGTTCCATTGTACACAACACGGCTTGATTGTCCTCTCCAAGCGACTTCTTTTTTTCCTGTGGGTGAGATTATCATTTTTCTCAAGTTTTGCTTTTGGTGTTGGCAGGTTACTTTGTAGCTCTTGGATCAATGGACTCCTCGATAGATATATGGGATCTTGACCTTGTATGTAATTGTATACTGTATTTTGATGATGCTTACCTTTTTCTTTATCAAGTTGATTATTTAATGCTTCAGTTGAATGGTGTGCTGCTACCTTGTGTACAACTGGGACGAATAGCCGGACAGGTGTGACAACCAACTTTTGAAAATTTCAGCTTGAAGAAATGTGGATAAAGCTTCAGCTCTAATACAAAGCACGCCCAATAAATATCCTTTGATTTATATCTTTTGCTTGATGATGGTTGTGTCTATCCGCTCTTTATTTGTTTTGACAGTTTCTTTGGAAATATAGGTTCAGCTAAGGGCTTAAACATTCTGGAGATGGAGGTAGACAGACTAAATACTGACCAGAGTGTTCTCCATTATAATGTAAGCTACCACCAATATGATATTTTGTTAAGATTTTACATGACACGATTAGCAGTCGCCATTTTTGTGGTAATGTTTTTTTCTGCAAGTTCGTGTGAGGTTTAACACAGAATCATTTCATATTGGAGGTTAGACCTGAGTCTAATTGTGGTATATATGGCCTTCTTGATGAAACAATAATGTCTACCTCAGATTTTGGATTCACTAACCATTAATTCATGAACATAGAATACCCGTATTGAAACTAAGATATACGTTCAGGTAGTGATCTGTTTTTCAGTTTCATTTGTACAAAACGACACAGCATGTTTTTGTTGTAGATTGTTGAGTTTTGCATCGGAGAGAGGAAATCATTATTAGTCCTCTTAGGGTATGGATTTTGGCGTTTCTAGGGTATTAATCATTTCCAAGGATTAAATTCTTCTGAGATAAGTACTTATTCATTCGTCAGGTAAGTAGCTTTTCTGTAGAGTTTTCCTCCCTTTGGATATTCAATACTTGGTTTAATAGCTGTTGAAACTTATTACTACTGTATATTTATTAGGTTGCAACATGAGCTGAAATTCATTTGACCAGGAAGAAGTACTTACATGGGTGGTCACTTGGTTAACGCATTCAAATAAGTTCCTTTTGAACCCTTTCTACTGAATTAGTTTGTGTTCCTTTCACCTTTATCACTTCTCTAATGTTCATTATTGTTTATTTTAACAGGTTTTCGGTAACTGATTGATCAATACTTGCCGTGTCTTGGAGTTGACCGAATCAATATCCTTTTGAATATTTCCTTTCTTGAGTGTACCTGATTGATGAATACTTCTTTTTATTGGCTTTTATTTTCTCATTAAAAAAACACTAAATAAGTTAGTTTTTGTTCAGGCTCTATTATGGTACCATTTTATAACCTTTCTGATATAAAAGGGTTGTGAGGACTCCAAACCATTTCTAATCAGGTATTTAAGGGTTTGGCTGCTTCTTTCTCATTGATTTTGTTAGAAGACTCTGCTGTTAGTATTGTATTTTATTGTTATGAGTTGTTGCCTTTCGACTTTTGAAGTTTGAGTACATATATTGTGATGGATTTCATTGAATCAGTTTGTGGCATTATGTATATATTTGAAAATGACATCTTAACGGAGGAAATGCATTTACTAGATACTCATGCTTAAGTTTTTGTCTAGGTTGGTCAATGTGTGGACATGTAACGAGAACACTGCTAAACGCTTACATGTTCAGAGGATTCAGATGTGCCAATACCTACTTACCAAGAACCCTGAAATACAAAACCAGAGGTAATCAAAGTTGCTAAAACATGCATCTTTATAAGAGTAGTGGATTTGGCTTTATATTTTTGTTGGATATTTTTCAACATGTTATATACTTCAGATTTTGGGAACTATTGGTGTTTCATTATCTCTTGATTGAAATTACGTCTGTTTCTCACTTAGGTCCATAGGAAATTTACAAGCAAAGTTGAGGGGAAGGTGAGTTATGACGATTTTGCATACTTTATTCTCGCTGAGGAGGAAAATCATCTGAGCATAGTCTTGAGTATTGGTACACGTCTCTTCCTTTCTCTCTTCAGCCATTTTGTCTTGTTGGTATGCTCATCTATGTCCCATGGATGTTAAACACATCATCTTGGTAGTTTTGTGTTTTTTTTTCCCTTGATATTGATTAAAACAACGTTTGCAGATTCAAGTGCATATATAGAACTGGGCACTCCCAATTAAATGCAGTTTTTTTACGAAGAGCGGCTGCATCGCATCTTTGAAGATATCCTATGTCTTTTCATATTCCTGGCTATTCTGTTTTTTCTTTTTTCTTATTCGAAACATCAATTTGTTGAATGACTCTTTCAGAAGGAGAACTGCATCTCACTCCAGGATATGAAAGACTTTCTGGAAATGTTTTCAAAATACTCTTCAACCTAAACAAATTCATGGCCTCTGAAACTTATTCATTCGCCAGGTAAGTGTAGCTTTTCTATAGAGTTTTCCTATGTTTGGTTATTCAATACCTGGATTTAATAGCTGTTGAAACTTATTACTACTGTATATTTATTAGGTTGCAACATGAGCTGAAATTCATTTGATAACCGGAAGAAGTACTTTGACATGGGTCACTTGGTTAAGGCATTTCGATAAGTTCCTTTTGAACCCTTTTTACTGAATTAGTTTGTGTTCCTTCACCTTTATCGCGTCTCTGAAATTGTTCATTATTCAATCTTTTTAACAGGTTTTCTTTATACCTGACTGATGAATACTTCTTTATAATGTGTCTTGGAGTTGGCCGAATCAATTCTTTTGAATTGTTTCCTTCGCTGAGTTTACCTGATTGATCAATACTTGTTTATTGGCTTTATTTTCTCATTTTTAAAAAAATACGTTAGTTGTTGTTCAAGCTCTATTATGGTACCATTTTATAACCTTTATGACATAAAAGGGTTGTGAGGGCTTAAAACCATTTTTAGTCGGGTATTTAAGGGTTTGACTACTTCTTTCTTAAGGATTTTGTTAGCAGGCTCTGTATTTTATTGTTATGGCTTTATGTATATATTTGAACATGTTGAATTTAACCACCTAATTTTTTCCCCCATTTTAGGAGAATCAAAAAGCAGCACTTCGTCTAGCAGCACAGTGACAAATTCGTTGAAGGGAAGACCAGTGCAGGTACCCTGTTCTGTTCTTGTAAGTAATAGCCACTAGCTCTGGAAGATTGTTTAATAACTTGATCTTCTTGGGGGGCCGTATATTTGAGGGTAAAGAACCTCCACAACTTGTTGCACTTTTAAACATAAAAAGGTATTTCTTTTGATTGTTGCTGCAAGACAATATTTCTTTTGATATAGATACATTAACTTTGACCAATATGACCTATTGACAGAGGAAATGCATTTATAGAAAGTGACGATGGAAAAACTGATGTTGGTGCCTCTCTTTTGTAATATATTACATACCTAAAAGGTTTGTTTACAATTTACCCTTCTGCTGCAGCGTCAGTGTAGCAGTGGGAACCAAGGACCAAGGCAAAGAGCTAAGACTTTGATTCCAATTTCCAAAGAGGTTTTGATGTAGGAGAAATTTAGGGAATTTACCTTTTCTTTTAATATTTACTTATTTCACGTTTTCTATTTTGTTTAGGGTTTTCTATTTTATGTTTTGGTTTTATTCTATATATATATAGAGATCCTAGGTTATTTACAGTACACGTTTTATCATTCTAATTAATAAAAGCAGAGAGCTTTTCTTTAATCTGGTGGATTTCCAGAGTTTCAACCTTTCAAGTTCGACGCTTGCGAACTTGATTTCTATCTAGGCATAGTGTTTGCTATTCCTAGAGATTCCGACTGCGTCAAGTGGTATCAGAGCAGGTTTTCTCCTGTCTCTTTTTGAAGCTTGATAGGCCATGGGAGATCACCCGGTTACCAAAGCAGATTTCGAGGGTTTTGCGTCGACTATTACCACGACTCTTACCACGGCTCTTACTGCTTTGACCAATCAGATGACGTTGTTGACAACCAAGATCAGAAACGGCAACAACAACACAAATCAACAAAGAGGCAGAAGAGAAAAATCAACTAAAGATCTACAGAGTGGAATTGATTTTGAACATCAGATGCATGTATTAATCAATAAGATTAAATATCAACAGAAAACTAGAGAGGAAGCGATTCGGGTTCCACGAGGAGAAAACAATCGTGTTGTGATTGATGAAAATACAAGTTCTAATGAAGAATCCATGAAGGAAGAGATTGGTCAAGAGAATCTACATAATAATTATGATTCTCACATGGATGCTAAAGAAGAACTCGTGAAGATCTTGGCAGCTTTCTGTTTTTTTCCCTTGATATTGGTTAAAACCATGTTTGCAGGTACATAGACCTGGATGGAGATGGGGTGATCACTCCCAATGAAGAGAACCATTGAAGATATCCTCTGTCAAATATTCGACATGATTAAACCAGAGGCAAGAGTTCTTTCAAATCATAACATGGTCTTTTCATTTTACTGGCTATTCTGTTTTTTTCTTTCTTATTCGAAACATCAATTTGTTAAATGACTCTTTTATAAGGAGAACTGCATCTCACTCCAGGATCTGAACTTTCTAAAATGTTTTCAATATACTCTTCAACCTGAAAAAATTCATGGCGTTTGAAACTCGTGACCCTTTTCTCATTTGCCAAGTAAGTCTATCTTTTCTATAGAGATTTTTTCCCTTTAGTTATCAATACTTGGTTTAATAGCTGTTGCAGCGTGAGCTGAAATTCATTTGGTTAAAGCGTAAGCTAAAATTCATTTTACAACAAGGAGTACTTTGACATGAGTCACTTGATTAATGCATCCAAATAAGTTCCCTGAACCCTTTTTACTCAGTTAGTTTGTGTTCTTTTCACCTTTATCACGTCTCTGATTTTCATTATTGTTTCTTTTAACAGGTTTTCTATTATGATCCAGGAACTCTCAAAACCGTTTTGTCTTATATTACAGGTGATAGGTTTTATTGTTTCGTCACTCTAACCAAGAAATCCGTTGATGAAATTTTGTACCTTCTTGTGATTGTAATTTTCGTAAAATCTTTCCCTTTTTTCGCTTACTAGGTTTTGAGTCTATCTGTCTATGTTTTTCGGCAGTTTCTTTGGAAATATTGGTTCAGTTAAGGTTTTAGTGACCCGTTCACTGATTTATGGCAATGCTTTTTATGCAAGTTCGTAAGGTTTTAGCACATAATCAAATTATAAGGTTAGACCTGTATCAAACTTTTTGGTTCATGATTGGTTGACTCGAGCGACGGCTTCCTTATCACTTTCTTTTGATGGTTTTGTGTGGAGTTTCGTAATTGAATTGTCCTTAGTTTTAATCTTCAGTGTTTCGATGACCTTTCAACGTGTGGTGCTATGTTTTGAAGATACAAGGGATATCACGTTTTGGTCTCTTTCTTTCTCAAAGTGAGAAACGCTTCTACTATAGGTTTTGGCTCCTAAATTGCAACATGTGGCTTTCTCTTGTAGATGCAGTGGTTTGGATTATGCTGTGTCTGACTTGGATGCTTGAGCGTTGTGTTATGGTTTCATGGGTTTTACTCGTTTCCTACCTTACTTTAGATTGGGATCTCATTGGGTTATTAACTGTTTTTCTTAAACATTATGACAACAACTGGCAACCCCATGTCATCAAACCATAATTTTTTTGGCAGCAACATGTGATTCTTTTGATTGCATATGATTACTTATCTGGATAACTCAGATTTTGAATCTGAACTGTCTTTCCTTTGTAATATACTGCATTAAATTCCTGAAACGTTTGTTTACAATTTACCCTTCTGCTGCAGGATCAGTCTGGCAGTGGGAACCTTGCCTTCCGCATTTAATTCTTCTTCTGCTCTCCGGTAAATAGTATAAGCTCATTTTTTATGTTTCTACTTGATTCTTCCTAATACATATATGAAGATATTGACATATCATGTGAACTTCCTTGAAGAAAAAAGGTTATGGTTCACATTTTCAATATAATAGGGGTTAAGAACTGGTTGTGCTTACTTCTTTTCGTCTTATGTACAAAACGGAAATCTTAATTTTCATCCTCTTGTTTATGTTGATGACTGAAGAGATAGGATTGATGGTTAACGTTGACTGTTTCAGAATGAGAGAGAAGCAAAGTAAAGTTCAAAGAGTGCACAAAGAAATAAGGTCCAATGTTTCTCTCTCCCTGTACTTTTTATTTTTACGGTTATTTGATGCTACACTGACATGAAATGATCGTATAAGTTTGAAACTACAATATATTTATCTATTTACAACAATCATGATATCAATTTTGTTCTGGCAGCAAGCTGGTGTTGGTACATTAACATTGCTCAAAACTGGGGTTCCAGCAATAGCCAACAGATGATCCTTTTGAATAATGTTTGTGGTTACAGGTTTGTCATTTTTTATTTGGATAACTCCAATGTTGCATCTAAATTGTTATTATTTTGTTGTAGAAAGAAAGAAGCTAGTGCATATAGTGTTAAGGATCTTGCTTCAAATAAATCTTTCTATGTGCAATCACCTTGCCTGATTTTGCTCTGCATATTGGCCATCTCTCTAGTGAAGCTGGAAAGTTTTTTTTGTTTGGGTGTGCTATTGGTCTTAGCACTGCCTCAAAGAGACGTGGTTTTTTTCATGTTCTTGGTAAATGTAAGTCAGGGTATATATATACAAATCAGTTTTCGAAAGGTTTAAAAAGGAGAGAGTAACTAGTATATATTGTAATTTGATAGCATGTAGGCTGCGCTAGTAATTGGTTTGGTATCATGTTACATTTGCTAACAATCTTGTAGTAATTCTTTCACTAGTTTTTAAGCGGCTGTCTTTGGACCAGTTTCTTTGTTTGATATCGAAGCTGCTTTAATTGGTTAATCTATGTGTTACATCTCTTGGTTATAGGTTGTCGATGATTCTAGATACGTATAGATTTTGATGTTCCAAGATATGGATTTTCAGGTTCCTTCTGTTCTTCAGAGAGAATATTTTTTGATTAGTTGGCCAAAGTGATTGTATTCTTCGGCTCTTGTTTATGTGGGTTCCCTTCTTTGTGTTAGGTTCTCTTTATTATAGAGCGTTCATGTTTTTGCTCTTGCTTTAGTCGCATAGGAGGATGGTTTTCTATCATTAGTTTCCTGAATCTCTAGGGTTTTTTATGTCATTTGACTAAACGTTTTCTTAGAGTCTAAATCATAGTCACATATTCTTGTTGGATGCTTAACTTTTTATTGAACTTACTTATTATTATCAAAACTATGTGGAAGACGCAAAGAAGTTGCTTTTAGATCGTTCCCCATTATTCCTTAGTGCTAACGGTCTTTCTGTTTATTCAAAACTCTTAAGTTCTTGCTAGAGATCACATTGGGGTTCCTGGCTTAGGCTCGTGAGTTGGCTTTTTCTGCAAGTTTGTGTGGGTTTAACTCAGAATCAATTCATGATGGAGGTGAGACCTGTATGATACTTTTTGATTCCTAATTGGTTGAGTCGAGAGGCGGCTTTCTTTTGATGGTCTTCAGGTTTTGTCTGTTTTTTATTCAATGGTGGTCTTCAGATTTAATTGCTTGTGCTTATTGCTTTTCAGCTATTACTAGCTCTTTTTACTATGACATGTTTAGCAAATCACAGCTACTAGTGTCCCATGTTCTTGATTTGTTGGCTTACATGCTCTTTGCTTTAACTACAGAGCCGAGACAGTTCAAGGGGAGGTCAAGGCGCTGAAGCTTTATGTCATCAAAATCACCCGCACGAACACCAGAATTAACAAGTTAGGCATCACAAAGAGGGTAAGTTCTTTACCAGTTCTGGTCTATTGCAGCATATGAGTGAAAAGGTGTATATCCGTAAGTACAAACAAGGGTAAGAATCATAGTGTAATTGTGATTATTACAAAGACGGGGCTTTTCAAAAATCCATTTCAACATACTGTTTGAGTTCACTTCAGGTGCCTCAATGCATAGATAAACTTGCCCAAGCTAGTCTCAAGATATGGGGTTTGACAGGAGATAACTTGGAGACAGCCATAAACATAGGGTTTCTTGCCCTTGTAGTTGACTGTGCATCAGTGATCTGTTGTCGTGTCTCTCCCAAACAGAAAGCACTTGTATGAATAACTCCACAACTCTAAAAATATATTTTTCTAGGTAACACGGCTAGCCAAAGAAGGAACATGAAAAATGACTTTGGCAATCGGTGATGGTGAAAATGATGTTGGAATGATTCAAGAAGCTGCTATTGGTGTTGGCATAAGTGTCGTTGTGATATAGGAAAAAGATGGTGATAAATCAATGACACGTGGACGGTGGTAATTGAAGATTAAAAGAAACGGTCAAGATCTTTTGAAGATTAAGAACAGAAGAATGAACCTAATAAGAAGTTGAAGACCCTTTATTCTCTCATTATGCAAAAATCTGAGATTGTATCTTCTTCTCCATTTGGTTCTTTGTTTGTTCTTGAGAATTCTCTGAAATTCTCAAGCTATTCTTCATTGTTGCTGGAGCTTTCTCGTTTTGAGACTCTTGCTTATGAGAAGCGAATTGATGTTTTATGAACATAGGTTTGATTATCTTTAAAAATGGTTTGTGTTTGAATTAGATACAGTTTTCCTGTATCACGTTGAAGGTATGCAAGTGCTTTAAAAAAGTATTCTTCAGCACAATGAGATATAAAAGTAAAAATGTAGAATTGCAATTTTACATTTTCATACTGATGCGTGTGAGACTTTTTTGTGTGCAGGATATCTAACAATTACAAAATCAGAGAATTGGAGTTTTGGCTTGTGTCTTGTTGTGGGTTTCAGATCACTCACTTCACTTGGTCTCTTGGATCAGGATCGAAGAAATACCGGTATTGGAAGGTAAGAAGTCTCAGATTGCTTGTTTTTTAAGCTTTAAAGTTAATATTATCAAACTTTTTTTGTTGTCTCTTTTTTTTTTATAAAAAGATAGTGTATTGTTCTGTCTGAGCTCTGAACAGGGTTTTCGGTTTTCCAAGTGAACAGATGAGTAAAGGAAAGCATTTCATATTGATACAAAATCCTCTTAAAATACTGGTCAGACTTTCTAATCAAACACTGGTTCTCAACTTTAGCCAATGTTTCATCTAATGCTCTTCTCTGTTTCTCCAATTAGGCTTGGGGGGAATTAGTGTCGATATACAGTGATCTCTGTCACATGGGAACACCACCAGCTGTCATCAATGCGGATGAGCTTCAGCGAGATCCCGAGGTTTTGTTTCTGTAATAGGTAAATTTTAACTAAGATGTCTTTTTCTATTACATGTTTTGCCATCCATATATACATGTAGACTACACTACACGGTCTTTGTGATGATTTGAAACTTGTGACCTTTTTTTCATTCGCCAAGTAAGTCGAGCTTTTCTATAGAGTTGTCCTCCATTTTGTTATTCACTCCTTGGATTAATAGCTGTTGAAACTTATTACTACTGGATATTTATTTGGTTGCAACATGAGCTGAAATTCTTTTACATGAGTCACTTGGTTAACACATTCAAATAAGTTCCTTGAACCTTTTTTACTCTATTAGTTTGTGTTCCTTTCACCTTTATCACGTCTCTAATGTTCATTATTGTTTCTTTTAACAGGTTTTATTTTTTCATCGCTCTAAAAATGGTTCAGTTAAGGACTTAAACATTTTGGAGATGGATGCGGTAGACAAGCTAAATACTGACCAGTGTTCTCCATGATCAGGTAACTAATATATGATATATTATGTTAAGATTTTACAGGACACGATAAGCAGGTGCCCTTTTGTGGTAATGCTTTTTCTGCAAGTTCGTGTGGGTTTTTAACACAGCATAATTTTTCGTTCCTAATTGGTTGACTCGAGCGACAACTTCCTTATCTCTTTCTTCTGATGGTCTTCCGGTTTCGTCTGTTTTTTGTTGATAATTGTTTAGACTTTAGAGTAACTTTTACTTGATTTAGATTTTAGATAGTTTCTTAGTGTGAAAAATACTGTCAAGAAGGTACTAAATTATATTTTTTCTTCTTCTTATTACATTGCATCTTATCACAATTTTCTTACACAGTAGATGGTTGACTTCATTATTTCAACCAAATATAATTTCTCCTCATGTCTTGTTGCGTGTTTTTCATATTTTTTTCATCACTCACTTCACTTTGATTCTCTTGTTTCAGTTGATGGCTAAAGAGATTTGTTTTGCGGTTCGTTTATTGTTTCAGCAAAGCCGAGATAGAAACAAAGTAAAGATCATAGAGTACCATGTGCCAAGCCAAATTTGATCCAACGTTTCTCTGTCCCTTTACTTTGTTTTTTTACAACGTTTATAGAGATCATAAATTCCAGTTATCTACGTTTCGCAGAAAAGGTGGTGTTGCTACATCAAAACGGGCGTGTCAGCAACAGTTGATATTTTTTCCAAGGTCTATATTGCATTTATACTTTTCATGTTTATGTGATTACTAATTTTGTGTTATTTTACACTTTCGTGTATGCAGGAGACTGGAGTTTCTGGTTTCTTCTGTGGTATGTTCACATTCACATGGAAGTTGTTAATTTTACAGTTGTTTGATGCTACACTAACATGAGATGATCGTCTAAGTTTGAAATTACAGTATCTATTTACAAATATGTTGAAATTATAGTCAACATAACTATGTGGTGATCTCTGGTTCGGAAATTATATGGGTTCTTACTTGGTCTCTGGCTTGCTAAATCGTCCTTCTATTTCGGATTTCTTTAAGCTACAAGATTTGCAAATTAAATAGAACCAAAAACTGCTTGTTGTGGTGGCTCTTTTTGTATGTGTATGTGTGAATGCTGAGGATTTGACTCGCAGGATGGCTTTGATCTATGTTTGTTCTTGATATGTCTATATTTTACTTGTTTTAAGCATTAATTTGTCATCACTTTAGCATCATTTCATCACTGTTTCATATCATTCTTCATCGTTCTTGCACGCTTTGCATGTTTAGGATAGTTTTGCATACATGTTGCATTTTTGAGTTGTTTTCAGGTGATTTGGAGCTGTTGGTGAGCATATTGGAAGAAGCAAAGCGGAATCAAGCAGACACTCGACCAAGTCAGTCGAGTAACTCAACCGCCATCACTATTCCAGCACTTAATCACATACTTGACCAACTACTCTACCTTATTGGTCGAGTATCCACAGCCACCATCGCTCTCCCAGAACTCGATCATATACTCGACCAACTACTCTACCTTGTTGGTCTAGTATCCACATCCACCATCACTCTCTGAATACTTGACCAACTACTCGACCCTGTTGGTCGAGTATCCTCTATCACCTCACTTCAGAATCACTCGATCGTGCTCACTTCAAGAACACTCGACCGCATACTCAACCATGTTGGTCGAGTACCCTCCATCGCCTCACTCTTCCACCACTCGACCACGAACTCAACCTAGCAGCTTCAGAGTCTTCTCAAATCCGTACTCAACCAGACATTTGAGCATAAGGAAGAGAAGAGGATGAAGCAGACACTCGACCCTTCACTCGACCATGTCGCGACCAGAGCAAGAAACCTCGTCTACTCGATCGCATGAGTCGAATGTATCCTTAAACCGCCTTAATACTTTGTCGTTTTGTGTTTTAGGGTTTCTTAATATTTGCTATAAATAGGTTGTTTCTCTTAATTCTGAGACTTAAGCTTTATTCTGCAGAACAATTAGTGTTTTTTCTTCATATTTGTAATCCGAATTCCTCTTAATCTATTGAGTATTTGCATTTGATTTCTTCTACAAAGTTGTTTATCTTGTTGAGATCTTTAAGTTATGAAGATTTTAGAGAATTCTGGGTTTATGTTATAAGTTATGAATCTTAAGTAGTGATTAGGGTTCTTGAGGATGGATTAGAGTAGTTTAGAGTCCTTAATTTGTTAGGTGGTTGAGTATGATTGGTAGATCGCTTCTCGATAAGTTGTTCTTAATGCTAATTGCATTCTGATTAATTGGAATTTGAGCCCAGATATTTTCGCACCCACAAGGTGTTCAATGAAATGTCTATAACACTAATTCCAGAGATTCGTGTCTCTGTACCAAGGTGTTGGTTACAGAGAGCGTTTTGGATTTAACTTGTTGATTCGTAAAGCCTACTAGGTTAGCTTTCGTCAATGGTGTTTGAGTTTGGAACTAGCTTAGCTTGAGGATCTCTGTTGCGGTGGCACTTTGATTTGGTGTTGAACTTGTTGTCTAGGGATAGGTTGTTGAGCATGTTAACCACCTGATAGGTTAAGGAGACTTCACTACTCGATTACCCCATCCTTAGGAATTTCTCTTCCAATTGATTTCTCTATTTACATTCATATTCTTTGCTTGTTCTTATTGCATGTTGCTGAGTTTTTGCATTTTCTTGCCTGTTCTCACTCATATACTCGACCACACCCAGCGTCTGGCAACAGACTGTGCAGTCGAGTATATTTCTTGCATTTTATGTCTGTTTTTCTTCTAAATGGTAGACCATACCCAGTGCCTGGCAACATGCAGTGTTGGTCGAGTATTTTGTGTATTTCTGCAAGATTTTATGTTTTCTGCATGTTCACTTAGGACTGTTAGAAACTCCAAAACCTGTTTATGCTTGGCTTGACTCTGTGAAATATGATTGCATCTTGATCGTTAGAATCTCACCCAATTGGATTGACATCTTAAATTCTACAATAACATGATAGTGATTTAAGGAATTGAGAACTAGTGAAAATCCTACTATCAGTTCTCCGTTATTGCTTTGATGGTAGATTATTGCATCGAGGTTAAGGTGTGTGTCTTTTCATCATATATATCACTGAGATGCTTTTTGTTATGGATCATACTGTCCTTCGTTGTGTTGATAGATAGTTGAAGGTCCAAGACAGAAAGTCATCTTGTTTATGATATCTTGGGGTTGTTGTTTTGTTGTCTTTGAGATTGCTCTGCTTTTATATAAATTTGTTGACTATGTATAGGTTTGAGGAATGATGCCAAGTGGCAAGTCTTGTTTGGGTTACATTTATATTAACTTGTGACATTGTTCATGTTGATGTAGATTATTGGTTTAAGTTGATTTTGTTGGCATATTTTTTGAACTAGCTTTCTTTATCACTGGTAATTAGAAGAAGCTGAAGCAGTTTCTTCCTGATTTGTTCTTCTTCATGTTTTTATTAATCATTGTTTCTATATATTTCCTAGTGTTGTTGGATTTCTCTGTTTTTTGCAAAATACTTGTGTTTTTTTTAGGGGTCAAGAGAAAAGCATTGGTTACCATCGAAGATGGCTTTATATCTTGAGGCAATTTTTATTTCCGAATCTTTAATCATACATGCTTGTGATGCTGGATTCTAATCCCATAGGTATGTTGAGGATGCAAAGGGATGCAAGCTCCATTACGTCTTTTTTTTTGAGTGAAAGGATGGCTTTGATCTATCCTTATTCCTCCATTTCCCTTTCATCATACATTTCTAACCATAGTAGTGATCTTCTGGTGGTGGTTACAGAAGTATGAAAAAACTCTTTAATATATTGGCTTGTTATGTTATTATAATCGTATTCTACTTGTTTAAGGATACAAAGTAACATGACTTGTCTTTTTGGGCATTACGTCTTACGGAAATGTGACACTATTCTAAGAGTTGGTCAGATTTGTGTACTGTACTGTTTCACCTATAGACTACATTTAAACCCGCGGTAAACCACGGGGCTATAAGTTTTTTAAAAAAATCAAAATATTATTTATTTAATTAATTATTTATATATATAAACTATTATTTTTTATTTTTAATATATATCTATAGATATATATATATATATATAATATTTAGTGTACAGTTACAATGTTTTAGGTAGCATCATCGGGACTATATATGTTTAGGTGTCATAAGTGATTAACAATTTTATTTAACTCATCTTATAATTTCTAAAAATTTATCTTTTTAATTTTATAATTATGTAATAATATATATATATATATATATATATATATATATATTAAAAATAAAGCCTAAGCTTAATTTGGGAGTATTGAAGTTAAACTTGATTTTGGGCTAAGCTTAATTATGGGTTTACAAAACCCAAAATTAAGCCTAAGCTCTAGAATTCTCTAGAAGTATCATAAAAAATCATCACCACTTTAAGTGTTCTAGAGAATTCTATTAGATATATATTTAGATAATTATGTAGAATAACCTAGAAGGTTGTAAGATAAAATCTAGATATTTTAGTAGAGTTATAGAGATGATGGTATAATAATCTACAACATTTGTAAGCCATCCTTGGAGGCGATAAATACCTCTTCACCCCTTCTTTCGTAATTAAGTTGAGCAAGTGAATAAAAAAGAAAGTGTTCTTCATAAGTTCTCTAAGAGGGTTTCTCATCTTAGTTTTTTCGAGTGTCTCGGGGAATTACGGTCTTTGGCTAGTGTAAGCACTATCAGGCGTTTTCTTTACATGCTTCCTATATACTTTTGAGAATAAAGTTTTTAACATTGGTACTTGTTCTCTACAGTTTGGTTCCTAATTGCATTGGATATCATTTTTTTTACTTACTGTGTAGATGCAGGGGATTTGACTTTTGGTTTCCTAATTAGTTGATTCGAGCGAATACTCATGTAACATTCTCAACCCAAAACGATGGGTGTCAATCAACACCAAGGGAGGGTGTCACTCGACACCATCAACTTTAGGGCGCTCGGGTTAAGTTCCTTAACTCAAAGGAAATGTTCAAAACCCTATTAGATGGATGATAAAATCTTGTCCATAATTCTTCTTACCATATTTATTAATCCATCATTATCTCTTAAATGTGTTTCTTATGCTTTTGTACAGCTTTTAGCCACATGTTTTGAATTATATTTAGCAAAAATGGAAGCAACTAAAGAGGTGGCCGCGTAGCTATGGTAGTTTGCAGACCATCCTTCACTACTTCCATACGTACTTCACAATACTGAAATTTCTGTTCATTTTCATAACCATGATTAAAGGTAAACAGACTACCTATTAAGAAAATCTTATGTCAAAAGATGAATGAGAGAGTATTTGTGGCATATTGAGACTATGATTCTAGCTATCTTAGATAAACAGCTATATAATACAAGATTATTTGATTGCAAAAGTATACATAATGACATTTAAAATCCAAGGTGTCCGACTTAGATGAAAAATCTAGTCACATACTTGCAAGTCTTTCTCGAAGAAAGGTGTGATCCCAAGAATCGAGTTTGATTTATATAAATTAACCGGTTTAAGTTCTAAGCTAGCTTCTATCGTTGGCATAATCGGAAAGTCTTCTTACCACAACACTATGTCCTCGTTCTCAATCGAGCGATATCTGTTCATTACACAAACTTTATTTATTCTTCAAATAATATTCATTTGGACTCTACTTTATATCTTGTGTACAAGTGTTTAGGTTACTCCGAAATGTCGGTTCATTCTTTATGTGTTGGCATAAACCTCCTTTAGAATAATCAATGAATATGTAAGATGTAAATCTTGAACTTTGTTAGTTTCTATACTTTGCTCCTGGAGATCACTCAATAGACGGCGTTTGTCATATTTAGGCTCCAATGAGATGGTCTCCTACACAAGCTAACACGGCCACAGCTGGCTTTTAGGAGGAAAAAATGAGTTATCCTCCCGAATACCCTCAAACATTAAAGTTAAGGCTACTAAATCATATAAAGACCTATTTCTCAAGAGGAAGATGAGGGTTAGTGTTCTAATGTTTAGCCAAAAAGGTCTAAGACGTAGTCCGATATAATTTAATGGTTGACGGCGCAATCACCATGCATGCAGTCAAATTGAATACGAGTATATATGTATGGTATATATGAATTTTATCTAAATTAGGATATTTTACTTTTAAATGAGCAGTCTTAAGCTAAACATACCATATTAGCATAACCCCGGAAATTTGGAAAACCATATATTTTTTGGAATTTAAGGAGATATATAACTTAAAATAGACATGTTTGAACGAGGAATATTTTAACTTCTTTTAAATAACTGGCATTTTTCTTTCTTATTTTCAAAAGCAAAAAAAACGAGTGAATTTATGTCATTAGGATGAAGAGATTATTTCTACTCTTGTTAACCATTCTAAGTTTCTAACTATCTTCATCATTCTCGGGCAAGGTTTGTATATACAATTAGATCATCTTATTATATGTAACATATGATCATTAATACCATCTCATATATTAGGAATATCAATTCAATATGCAATATAATATTTATGTTATAATTATTTTTCACTTGCTTCTTTTTTTCATTAACGTCAATTGTTTCTCAATCATGTTGCATAGATATATAAGTAACTCTAGAAGATGAAAAGAAAAATATCAAATCATGTTGCTTCTCATTTCTTTTCCAAGTAGAGAATATGCTTTAAAGCATTTTCTGACGATTTTCCCCCTATACCACTCAACTATTACAGGACAAAGATTTTTTGTGTAAACTTATAATATATCATATAGTTGTAATTTATGTTTACACGTATTTTCTAAATGTTGTGAAATACTTAGATATTCCATGTTTTATGTTACTTTCCTATGTGAAAACCTAATTTATTTCAGATAAAACTATATATATATATATATATATATATATATATATATATATATATTATTCTTACTTTCTATGTATTGTATAATGCATAGTTATTACATGTTTCATGTTATTTTTCTCAATGTACATCTAATTTACCAAGTGGTATTTTTCCAAGACCTACTCATGCTATATATTATTTTGGATTTCTATATCTTTATTATACACATTAAATATTGGTATATCTATTATCAAAAATAAAAAAAAATAAATATATTTCTAAAAGTCAATTTAAATATTATGTGTTATATTTGAACCCCATATTTTGCTAAAATCCTTTTGTTTGTTTATAATGGCAAGCTAAACACTTATCATTTACCGAAATAGATATTTATTTCTTTTTAGTTTGCTATTTAACTCAAGATAAAGTATATGAAACAACAATATTTGTTTCAAAAATATTGATTCTTAGCATTGTTTATATATGTTTATTATATGTTTAGTTTATGACTTATATCATTTTTGAAGTTACAATGTCGTCATATTTTTTCATAAATAATCAATAATTTGAATATGTATTTCTTGTGATATCTGATGGTACAACAAGAAAAGCAATAACGACACGAGAGGTCTTTGCACTTACAGGTTGTAGACTGAAGCCTGACTGGGTGCAAACAAGAACGTCAAGGAAAACAACATATTTTGTTGCCAAATTGAGAATCATATATTGAAAAGATTATGTTACATAGAGACGTAAGTAAACTTTTTTTTTTTTTTTGTCATCGAGACGTAAGTAAACTGAAGGCAAAAAAGTAGCAATAAATAATTGAGAAAATACTAAAAAATGAATGAAGAAGTTCAACGAACCTTATGCTAGTATCCATGTTGAATTTTGGGTATTGCTTACCCTTGTGATATGACGGTAACACCTCGCAGGTCCTACAACAAGATTCGGATTTTAGCTCGGACCCAAATTTATATAGCTCAAATCTATGATTCTAGTCACCTAACCATAATCATTACATAACACAAATCAATCAATTCGTATCAGAAGAAGAGCTATAAACCTAATTAGTTATCTGATGAACAAAGAAATCAATTGCAGAATCTTAAAACCACACCAAAGGGGGAATATTAGGTTAATTACTCAATGGAGGAAGTGGAAGAACACAGAACCATAACTGAGCTCACACGAGAGAGATCGAGAAACTTACTTCTTTCCATGGCGTCTCTCCTTTTACCTTCTCAGCCGAAAGCGCAGCTGCTCGGCGGAAAAATAGACTTCAACTTATAGATCCGAAATTTTCTAGGTCAACAAATGGATCGATTGCTTACTCATTTTTTGAGTATCGTTCTAAGAACGAACAACTTGGCCGGATTGCCTATCGCCGAAAATATCCAGATTTTGAGCGGAGAAGAAGTGAAATGCTCTAGATCGGAGATCTGAGCTCTCGAGGGAAGTGCGGAAAGGTGGATCGTCAAAGCGGATATGGTGAATGTCTTTGAAAGAGAAAGAGGCGATGGTGGGGTTCAAGTTGAAGAAGTTGAAAATTAGGGGATTAAATTAGGGTTTGGGTAGATTTGGATTTGGAGAAAAACTAAGTGTGGGAAAAAAAAAGAAAACCAAGTGAGCAAGCAAATTGGAGCCTAATTTTTACTCAATTGATTTTTATTTTTTAGTATTTTTAGCCCAAATTTTTGGCACACTTTTTTCACGCTAACCTTACCATAACGTTTTAGATATAGTATTTGATATTCTGTCTCTGTAAAAAAATACATAGAATAAAAACAATTCGGGAGAGAGTATTAGTTGTCATATAGACAACTTATCGTAGCGTTTCAACTTTTGGAAACGCTATTTAAAATTCAGAGGTTAATTATTAATAGCATAACTACATAAAACGCTATACTTCACTGCTATTAAAAACTAATATTCTTGTAGTGAACCTCGAGGACCGGATTGCTAGAACCGAAAGGAAGATCCGACGTTTGGAGTCGGACGTTCACAACTGGGAGAGGAGGGGATTTGACTCTATCGCTCGTATTCCCGGCTGTCTTCGAGAACACTTCAGGTTTCTGAAGAAGCATTGGGATATCTACCAAAGGAGCCTCGAACCCGACGAACGCGAAAACGGTTCATCGTCCGATGACGTTCCTTGTGCGAACCCTCCTCCTTCTTAATTGTTTATTATTTTGTAACATACTATTGGGCTGGCGGCCCAGACATTAATTATATTTCCCTTTTTGCTTTAAATTTGCCGATTTACTCAAATCTTATTTAATGCGTTGATTTAGGGAATATAATCAGTAATTAACTCGCTTACATTTTCCACGAAGCAAGTAATTTCAGATTTTGGGAAATCGTCGATTGATCCTCTTAAATGTGATTGAGTGTATTTCGAATATAAAGTAGGTGTAGCTCATTATTGAATTTAATCAACAATAATTCTACAAAAATATTCAAGGAAGGTAATTCTTCAGAGAATCCCTCCGACTCATTAAAAAAAAAAAACGATGATCTTCCGGAAATGTCAGACATCGAGCTTGTAAAAACGGAAGCAACCGGCGCACCAGAAGAGTCACGCCCATTAGGGTGGGGAATCAGCATTCAGGTTCCAAATGTGTTAATCGAGAGATTATCAGCTCAAGATCGTGTCAAGGCTAAAGAGTTTATTAACAAGGTATTGTTCAACCTAGTAACCTGACTCCTTTCGTTGTTTATTAAACGAAGCGTTTTGTTTTCTCAGCTTATTACTCGGCATAAAGAGCTCGAAGATGAGAGAAAAGAGATTAGAAATAAGAGAATGGAACTAGAGAAGCGTCGCCTCGATATTGCTCGCGAGCTTCATCGCCTCGAAGCCCATCCTTCTGATTGGATCGAGATAGGCCTACAGGAGTACGGAAACATGCCAGGTTGTATCCTGAACATCATTGACCTCGCAGGCCAAGGAGCAGAGCTATTCCGTAATCCAAGATCCTTCTAGATCTGGTTTTTGCTTTAGCTAAAAATACTCTTCATACATTGTTCGCAACGTACTTTAATATTTATGCTAAAAGATTGAGCTTTATTAAAAACAAGACTCCATGATTGGAGTAATATTTTTATTTTTATAGCTAGACTCGTGTTGAGCGAGCTGCCTACGTACCCAAAATAGGATCAAGCCAAATCGTAGTTCGATATGTTTGTTTTAGCAATAGAACTTTTTCAAGTTGATGATGTTCCAAGGCCTTTGAACGGAATTACCGTCAAGGTCCTGTAAACGGTATATGCCATTTCAGATTTTTCTGTGATTTGATAAGGGCTTTCCCAGTTAATCCCGAGTTTTCCAGCTCCTTCTTCTTTCGTGTTATCGAACACTCGCCTTAAAACAAAGTCTCCTACATTTAAAAGTCTGTTTTTCAACATTGAGTTATAGTATCGAGCGGTCATTTGTTGATAGTTCTGAAGTCGAATAAGGGATTGGTCTCGCCTTTCATCAATCATATCAAGAACGTCTTCTAATAATTTAGAATTCAGTTCTCCGTTAAGTGGAGCTTCGCTCCGGCGTAAACCGGGAACATTCAGCTCGGCTGGGACTACTGCTTCCATCCCATATACTAATGAGAATAGAGTTTCTCCCGTTGCTTGTCTCGGGGTTGTTCGATATGCCCACAACACAGGTTGCAGCTTGTCGTACCAACCACCTTTTCGAGCATTCAAACGTTTCTTAAGATTGCTGAGAATGGTTTTATTGGAAGCTTCCGCTTGCCCATTTCCTTGAGGATACCTCGGCGTTGAATAGCTAACTTTTATCCCCCAAGAGGAACAAAAATCTTCAAATTCATTTGAAATGAACTGTGGACCATTGTCCGTTACAATTTTGTAAGGAACTCCATGGCGACAAATAATGTGTTTCCACAAGAATGTCTTTACCACAGAATCTTGTATATTTGCGTAAGCTTCAGCTTCGATCCATTTGGAAAAATAGTCCGTTAGAACTAATAAGTATTAGACGCCTCCCGTTGAGCGATGCATCAGGCAAACTATATCCATTGACCACCTCATGAAAGGGTATGGAGCGGATATAGATGATAGAAATTAAGATGGCTGGTGAATAAGAGGAGCGTGCATCTGACACTTTTTACACCGTTTGGCGTAATCGATGCAATCAGAAATCATAGTTGGCCAGAAATATCCTAACCGTTTGATTTTGAAAGTTATTGCTCGCCCTGAAGAATGACTGCCGCAAAGCCCTTCGTGGACCTCGCTTGTCACTATTTCAACTTCGGGCCCGAAAATACATAAAAGATAAGGATCATTGACGCCTCGCTTGTACAATGACTCTTTAATTATACAATACTTAGCGCTGATGATTCTTAATTTGCGAGCTTGCCATTTGTTCGATGGTAGTTCTCCATTAAGAATGAAATTTTTGATGGGTACCCTCCTGTCAGCCCCCCAATCATTAGCGGAAGTATTATCCTTAAGTATAAACTTCCTTGGTTCCGGCTCGGAAGGAATATCAGGATCATTTATTAGAACTTCTTCATTATTTGCGATATCCGGAAGTGACTGTTCAGCTCGAGATGGTTCTTTAATGGGAACCTCTTGATCTTTTAGTTTTCTTCTCGGCTTTCTTTTAGGAAGTTCTGTTTGTGGATTAAGCTCGTCATCTTGAGAATTTGCTCGAGATCTAGTGACAACAAGCGAACTGTTCTTGTTGTCGGTATTTAATTCTAGAGTTTCGATATGCTCGACCTCCAAAATATTATCGTTATCTGTTTCTTCATCCGAAATACTTCGTGAAGAAATGCATTTAACTGGAATCACTCGCTTGAGTTCGGGATCTGAGGTAGAAGCTAGGGCGGCTAAAGCGTCTACCGAAGTGTTCTCGCCTCGAGGTATTCGAACTAATTTGAATTCTTTGAATCTTCCAGCTAACTTTTTGACGGCCGAAAGGTAGGCTTCCATTCGAGGTGCCTTAGCTTCGTAATCTCCAGCGAACTGGTTTACAACTAGCTGAGAATCACAGTAAGCTATTATTTTTTCTGCTCCAATCGCAAGAGCATGCCGAAGTCCTTCTAAGAGAGTTTCGTATTCCGCCTCGTTATTCGAGGCCGGGAACATTAATCGAAATGATTGTTCGATTATTTCTTTTGTCGGAGTTTCGAGCCTAATACCGATTCCGGATCTTTGTTTAGAAGAAGAACCATCTACGTGTAATTTCCATGTAGAGTCTGTTTCGATGAAGGTTCCATCATCTAATGGCAGTTCGGTTAGAAAATCAGCCAGAACTTGTGCTTTTGCGCTAGTTCGACTTTTATATTCTATATTGTACTCATTGAGTTCAATAGCCCATTTCGCCAATCTACCGGACTGACTTGGTCCGTGAAGAATCGAGCGAAGCGGATGTGAGGTTAAAACTTCTATCGGATGAGATCGGAAATAGGGTCTGAGTTTCCTAGCGGATACGACCACTGCTAAAGCTAATTTTTCCATCATTGTATATCTCGTTTCCGGACTGGTAAGAGATTTACTTATGTAAAAAATCGGCTTTTGATCACCTCGATCCTCTCGAGCTAAAACCCCACTTACAGAATGATTAGAAACCGAGATGTAAAGATAAAGTTTCTCATCTGACTCAGGTTTTGAGAGAACTGGTGGTGTCGTTAAATAAGTTTTGAGTTGATCGAAAGCTGCTTCGCATTGATCATCCCACCGAAATTTCTTGTTTCCTTTTAAAATTTGATAAAAGGGAAGACATTTATCGGTAGATTTCGAGATAAAACGATTCAACGCAGCAATTCTGCCCGTCAATCGTTGGACCTCTTTAATATTTTTTGGCGAAGGCATCGTGAGGAAAGCGTTAATCTGATTGGGATTTGCTTCTATTCCTCTTTCCGTGACTATGTATCCTAGGAATTCTCTGGAAGGAACACCAAAAGAACATTTAGCTGGATTTAGTTTCATTCCGAATTCATTTTGAATTTTGAAACATTGCTCAAGATGAGTGATGTGCTCGGATTTCTTAAGAGATTTCACGAGTATATCATCGATATAGACTTCCATCGTTTGGCCCAAATGTTCTGCGAACATTTTGTTAACTAAACGCTGGTATGTTGCTCCTCCATTTTTTAGACCGAATGGCATAACTTTGTAACAGTAGATTCCTCTATCTATTATGAAGGACGTTTTCTCTTCGTCTTCGGGATTCATCATGATCGGATTATATCCAGAAAATGCATCCATAAATGACAAGAGTTCGTTTATGGCTGTTGATTCTACAAGCCGATCAATATGAGGGAGAGGAAAGCTGTCTTTCGGACATGCTTTGTTAATGTCAGTGAAATCGACACATACTCTCCACTTCCCATTCTTCTTTTTGACTACCACGGGGTTTGCTAACCAGTCCGGGTATTGTACTTCTCTAATAGCACCAATTTTCAATAGCTTATCAACTTCGTCATTGACCGCTTGAGCTCGGTCAGGACCCAATTTTCTTCTTTTTTGCCTTATTGGTGTAAAACTGGGATCGACGTTTAGTTCATGAGTAATGATACTTTTGTCGATTCCGGGCATATCTTTCGCCGACCAGGCAAAAGTACGTTTATTTTCTTTTAGAAATGTTACCAATTGATCTTTGATTTCTGAATCTAAAGTAGTGCTGATCTTTACTTTTCGATCTGGAAATTCGGAATCAATTTCAACTTATGTGGTAACTTCATTCGAACTGAGACCACTTGAGTAACGCGAAATGCTTTCCTGCTTAGCGTTTATCATTAATTGTTATTTGAGCTTTAAGCGATGTCCATGAGGTAGCAAGAACGCGACGTTTCCTAATCTCCTCGAATGGTTCCGATTCCTCCGGGAGTCGGAAATTTCACACATTGGTGGTATGTTGAAGGTATAGCCTTCATTTGGTATATCCACGGAGTTCCGAGAATTATGTTGTATGCGGCCGGTCGGTCGAAAACGATAAATTCTACAATTTTTGGAACCCCTGCGGCGAGCACTGGTAGTTTTATGTTTCCTAAGGACATAGATGTGTCACTCGTGAAAGCTACTAATGGTGCCGGCGAACCGATAATGTCGGCTTTACTGATTCCCATTCTTTGCAAAGTTCTTAGAAATATTAGATCTACCGAGCTTCCAGTATCAATTAGACACCTTGTCACTTCGAAGTTCGCAACATCTAAGGTTATCACTAGAGCATCGTCATGAGGCCCTGTTACTCCTTGGGCGTCCGAATTGTCAA